ATTTATACACATAAGCAAATGCACCAGATTCTCTCTGATGGTAACAATGCAATGAAGAAAATGAAACAGGATAAAGGAATAGAGAGCAAGTAACTATGACAGGGCTATTGTGAGAGTAGAAAGAAAGGTGGAAGAACATTCTCGACAGAGGGACGAGCTAGTACAGAGGCACTAGGGCAGTCTGGGTGAATTTAGAAAGATAGAGAGCCAAGGAGGCCAGGGTGGCTGCACTGTAGTGGGTGGGCAGAGAGGAGCCAGATGAGAGAGAGTCAAGCTGGATATAAACAGTCTTTTTTTCTATTTTATTTTAAAATATTTATAAATAAAAATTGTCTAAATTCTACATGTACAGGGTGATGATTTGATCTTTATATGCATTGTGTACCTATGACCACAATCAAATCAATCAACACATTCATCATCATCCTTAGTTACTATTTGTGCATGCGTTTATATGGTGAGGGCACTTAAAAATCTTCTCTCATCAAATTTCAAATAAACAACACAGTATTATTAACTATAGTTAATGCTGTACATTAGATCCCCAGAATTTATCCATCTTGTAACTAAAGGTTTATACCCTTGGACCAACTTCTCAACACTTCCTCCACCCCTTCATCCAAGACACCCACGATTCTACTCTCTGCTTCTATGATTTCAACTGTTTTGGATTCTGCGTATGATTGAGATGAGACAATATTTGTCTTTTGGTGTCTGGCTTACTTCACTTAGCATAATGTCCTCCAAGTTTTCCATGATGTTGCAAATTGCAAAATGTTCTTCTTCTTATGGCTCAACATTATTCTCTTGTTTAGACACACCACATTTTCTTTATTAATTCATCAGTAGTCACCTAGACTGTTATTGTAGGTGTCATTTACACCCATCTTAGTTATTGTAAGTAACGCTGCAATGAACGTGAGAGTGTAGATACCTCTTTGAGATACTGATTTAAATTCATTTGGATATCTGACCAAAAGTGCAATTCCTTTGGATATATGGCTGGACCATAGGGCACTTATTAATTGACATATTTTTAATTTTTTAAGGAACCTCCATACTGTTCTCTATAATGACTGTACCAATTTCCAGTCCCATCGTGCACAGGGCTTCCCTTTTCTCCACAGACTTTCCAATAGCCACCTGTTATCTCATCTTTCTGATAATAGCCATCCTAACAGGTATGAGGTGATATCTCATTGTGGTTTTGATTTGCATTTCTCTGATGATTAGTGATGTTGTGAACCTTTTTATATATCTGTTGGCCGTTTGTATGTATTCTCTGGAAAAAAATGTCTATTCAGGTCCTTTGCCCATTACTAAATCTGGTTATTTGTTTTTTGATATTGAGCTGCTTGAATTTATCATATTTTTGGAGACTAATCCGTCATCAGATATACAGTTTGCAAATATTTTCTCCCAATTCATAGGTTGCCTTTTCATTTTGTGGATGTTTTTTTTCCTTTGCTGTGCAGAAGCTTTTTAGTTTGGTGTAGTCCTGCTTGTTTACCTTGCTTTTGTTGCCTGTTCTTTTGGTGTCATATCCAAAAAATCATTGCCAAGATCAATGTAAAGCTTTTCCACTATGCTTTTTCCTAGGAATTTTACATTTTCAGATGTTACATTTAAGTCATTAGTCCTTTTTGAGTTAATTTTTGTATATGAGGTAAGAAAAGGGCCTAATTTCATTATATTGCATATGTGTATTTGGTTCACACAGCATCATTTATTGATGAGACTAGCCTTTCCCCATTTTGCATTCTTGGCACCCTTGTCAAAGATTAGTTGATTATATATGCACAAGTTTATTTTTGTGCTCTCTGTTCTGTTCCATTGGTCAATGTGTCTTGTTTTCATGCCAATACCATACTATTTTATTACTGTGGCTATGTAGTTTTGTAATGTAGTTTAAAATCAGGATATGATGCCTCCAGCTTTGTTCTTTTTGCCCAAGATGACTTTTGCTATTTTGGGGCTTTTTGTGTTTCCATATGAATTTTAGGATTTTTTTTCTGTTTCTGTGAAAAATAGAATTGGAATTTATATAGGGATTACACTGAATCTATGGATCACTTTGAGTAGTATGGACATTTTAACAATATTAATTTTTTTAATCCATGAACGTGAGATATCTCTCCATTAATTTGAGTCTTCAATTTCTTTCAACAACATCTTATAGTTTTTGGCATACAGATTTTTAACCTCCTCACATTAACAGAATAAAGGATAAAAATCATATGATTCTTTCAACATGTGCAGAAAAATTCAATATTCTTTCATAATTAAAAACTCTTAACAGATTATCTGACAAATTTCAACACTCTTTCATGATAACAACTCTTAACAAATTAGGTATAGAATGAATTTACCTCAACATAACAAAGGTTCTGACAAGCCCACAGCTAATATAATACTCATCAATGAAAAGCTGAAAGTTTTTCAGGTTAACATGAGCAGGCTTATAGTCAACAGATGGGAGTCTTCAGCCTGAGTGAGGTCCCACTAGCGGCCTTCCCTTCAGAGACCTCTAAGATCAGGAACAAGACAATGATGTCCAACTGACACCACTTCTATTCAACATAGTCCCATAAGTCCTAGCCAGAGCAATTAGGCAAGAAAAACAAAAGACATCCAAATTAGGAAGAAATTGAATCGTCTCTGTTTGCAGATGACATGATCTTTTATGTAGAAAACCCTAAGGAAAACCCAAAGAAAAAGAAACTGCTAGAACTAATAAATTCAGTAATCAATTCAGTAAAGTTCGGGATATAAAAGTCAATGTACAGAAGTCAGTTGTGTTTTTATACACTAACATTTAGCTATCTGAAAAGAAAGTTCAGAAAACAATTCCATTTACAATAGCATCACAAAGAGTTAAACATTTGGGAATAGATTATAATCTGGTAGTTCTTGGTTAGAGTTGATTGTGTTTTAGTAGAAATGGCAAGAAACAAAGATATGAAGCAAGAAAGTGCTAAAATCTGATTTATCTTTTCAGCCTACTTTATAATACAGAACAGATTTGTTTTGGGTATCAGAGCCTTTCTCCACTATTCACCATCATTGTCCTCCACTCACATCCCTGTCTTTCTACAGAATGCCTTCGACTCTGACAGACGTAACCTACTCTGCCTCTATGGTGCCTCTGTGCCTAGTACTTACCACTTCCTTTGCTCTACCTCATCTTTCCCCTTTGCGCTTGGTGTTCTTCAGAGGGAGTCCATTTTCTCATTCATTTAAGTTTTCCCTGGCTTCTAGCTTAGTGCTTTGAACAGAGTAGGGGATAGATGGATATATAGATGAATGGATTATGAATACCCACTAAAATGTTCATTCTGCTATGAAGCCCTCTTCAACAGTTAGAATTATAATTCTCCCTCTTGCTCCTGCAGCGCTTTCTAGTGACTGCTTGGAATCTTTAGTGGTATTGTATTATGCATTATTATGTATCTTTAGAGTCCTTTGGAGGTCAAGGACTATGTTGTAGTCATCTTTGTTTCCCCAGGATTTACCACAGTTTCTAGCACTTAGCAATTTTCAGTAAGTGCCTGGACAAAAGATGTTAAACAGGACATAAAACTCCAAAAACAGAAGGGCTGTGGAAGTGTATTATCAGACAGAACCCTGGGCTAGTATGTGTTTCCTTAAGGCACTTTTAATTCCTCAGAAACTTCCCAAGCCAGTAGTGAGTTGCAAACCTGCTATGGAGCGTCCTCCAGGAAAGCAGCTTTAGAGCTATTTTTCCCCCCAAACTCTTTTGACCATAACGCAAAGCCAGAAGTTGATTTTGCATTGCAAGCCAGTATATAACTGTTGTGCAAAACAAAAATGCATCTTTACTTTGTAATACAGTCCAATATCTTCTATGCCCTCTGTGGTATAGAATGCTGATCATGATCCTTTAAATTGATTTTAAGACTCGTGAATAGGTTGCAGCCCACAGATTGAGTAAACCCTGTTTTTGAGGACAGAGATAGTCCCCTGAGGTGAACTTCAGAGGAAGAAGCATGAGCTTTACCTGGAACCCAAAATATCTCACTGTACTCTGACTGTTTATTGAATATTTGTATAAATTTAGCAATTACCAAGTGACAAGCAAATAAAACAAGCCATCCTGGCCAAAAAGAATCAGGTTGTGTAGTGGAGACGTCTTTGTAATTGAGAATTGAATTGTTTGAATGCTGAAAAGTTGTTAGAGATAGGTCCACCAGTCACTTAGTTCACCATATCCAAATACAGCATTGTGAATATTTGAGGTAAATGTGTTGCTTCTAAAATGAAACTGTGGGCCCACTGAGATATAGGGAACTTAACGTTTCTTCTGCCAATATGTTGACATAAATATTGCTGTTGTTAAGCATGTATGAATAGCAGAACTATTTCAGTCTTTTTATCTCTTTAAAACTAATTTAAATCTGAGCATTAAAAGACTGATACCATATGTTTGTTTTAGATAGGAAACAAAATCTATTCTAAACATAAGGGCTTATGAAATCTGTATTCTAAACATAAGAGCTTGTAAAATTAGTACATAGGACTGGAAGCTATGGTGAATTGTTTCATGGCCACAGATTCCTCCCATGTTAGTATACATGCCCCTTTGTAATGTGACCTTGCTGTTCCTCCTGTCCAGACGGGGGTCTGTTTACCCAACCCTTGCTAAGATGCCTTACTTATATGCTGTGCTAAAAATACAACATTTGCTCAGTAATGTCTTTTTATTGTGGAATGTAAGTCCAGCATGAAATTGTTGATTTTTCTCTTTGAAGACCATTTAAAAGCCATTTTTGAAAGTGACCAAGGTCTGTGGACATGAGCATCACAAGCCTTTTGTGAAAATATTAGACAGACTTCAAGAATACAACCAAAGACTGCCAGACTAGAAAGATACACATCACAAATCCATTTAGCTGTGTATGTGAAAGGACCAAATTAAAAGGTTCAGCAATGTCACTGGCATATCTGAGAATTCAACCTATTTCATTTTGAGACCCACATACCTTATCTGTGAAGGCAACTCTGTATGTGTGTTTTCCAGTCTAGATGGATAGCATAGAATGAGATGACCTAGACAAGCAAAGCACAAAGACAGTTGTGATAGCATCCGAACTTTCATGTGTAGCTTATAAGGGCAATTCCTCCTTTTCTATGTAGGCCTTTTTTGAAAATAGCACTGTGCATTGGTTTGCTTACCCTGAGAAGACCTGAAAGATGAGATTAAGATCTTTCATCTCAAATTAAAGAAGGCTTGTCTCAGGAACCATTTGACAAGTTCAGATGCTGCTGACTTAGATACTGGCCTCTTATCAGCACCTTCAATTTAATGTTTGGAGTGAATGGTAGGCCTATGTTGTTGAATTTTTATCAGATTTCCCCTCATCTTGGTAGATTATGCTTTAATTCACTATTCTGTGACTTATCAATATTGTCTATTTTATGCTATTGAGCTATAATGAATAAATAGCATAATGCAGTACTTACAGGTAGTGAAATCGAAGTCAAATGGGCTTGTGACATAGGCTAGATGCAACAGGTATTACCTTCAGGTTAATAAGTAGCTCAGATTCTCGTATAATTTGGTTTATTCATAGGACTTGGGGGGGGGGAATAAAATAAGCTTTCTTGTTCTGATAATCCCTTAAAAGAGTCATGAAGTTTTGATCTTTGGCTTATTTATTTATGATTGATAGAAACCAAGCCATTCCTGTGGCTCTCAGAAATCTCTTTGTGGAAAATATTTTAACTTTTAAACAAATTATGTCTTCCCAGCATTAGTGACCCTCTATGTTAAAATGTTTCCCCTTGAAAGTTAAAACTCCAATGTTGTTAGAAGAGTTTGATTCTCTTTTTGAAGGATCATAGAAACACAATACAGTTTTTTACCTGTGGACTTTGGATTTTGATTCACGTTGAATTTGATGCCAGAAGTTACATGGAAAAGTCAATAATAATCCGTGGATCATTGCCTTACTCTGTCACTGGGTGAATTAGTCTGCTGGGGTAATGTTCTCCAGCTTGTGTAATGGGCCTATTTAGTAGCAAGATAGCAGCCATATGAAACACCTGGGTGGTCTTCCAGAGTACTTTCAAGTGGATTAGATTTCAGTTATCCAACGTGAGGTCACAAAGGCTTAGACAGCTGGGCCAGTGCCACATCATGAACGGAATATGACCTCTTCCTACCGGATGCATAATGTAAAAGGTGCCTGAGGTTAAAGCTGATCTTTGGACTCCAGAAGCAGATATGGGTCAAATGAGGTCTCAAACCACAGTTGCAAATGTTGGGAAAGTCTCTATAGACAGGAAAGAATCAGATTTTCCTCTGGCACTTCCATTAGTCGTGTTCTCTGCCAGAAATGCCTAGTTTCTGAGTTTTCTGGATTGAGCTTTATTTGATTAACACTGGTTTAAAATTTTAGGTGTTATTAAGCAGAAACAGAAGAAAGCGCCTGAGTGGCCCTTTCCTGTTACACAGAAAACAGCATTTGGGGCACATAGGCTTTGGAATAAAATCACCTTTTTAGTGTTCTTAGAGATAACAGTGACTCCAAAGCCTGCCATTTTTTTCCAGTCCTGCCAGGAACTTTGAATGATCCAATAAAAGGTAATGTCCAAAGGTTTCAAGTGCAACTGATAAATCATATAGATTTGTATCCAGGATGCCTTAAATTGACTTGTGGATGTTTCTCATCTATCAAGAAAAACTTAGTGATTTGAATTTAGTACTTTGATGCTGCAGTAATTGTTTGCAACTGCAGCTCAATGGCCTGAAGGCATTGCTTATTTCTCCCTTTCTCTTCTTGCAAAGAGCTCCTGAAGTATTCTTTTACAGGCGAGTCTCCACTCACTGGGGGCTGTGGCCTGAAATTTAGGATAAGAGAATGGTTCCATAAACACTTGGCACAGACCAACAACAGTGCCCTAATGAACCATCCCAAATGTGCACCATTTTGAATCAAACAATCCAAGTCCACATCCTCTTCACTGGATATATATTAAGATTCACTTCATAGTATTTACAAGGGAATTACTAAAGAAATCATGGGGAAAAGATTCCTCCACTTATATTTTAGTCAAGGTATTTCATACATTTCTAAGTTACAACTGTATTTCAAAGTATATTTTAACTAGTTACTCAATACTTGAAAAAAATGCTATAGATTATCTCCTTTTGGAGGATAATCTATTTCTTGATGCTGTTTCAATTAGATTAAATTAAAACTCTCCCAAATTAAGGCCTTTTGGTAGTGTTCTTCTAACCATATTCCATAGTTTCCTCAATCAGTTGTTCCACTAGTCATTTAGTGCATGCCTATTTTCTGGCTGAGCAAATGTATCAATATTCATGCAAGGGTGTCCATCTCTAGCATCAAAAGCCACGTGCCCATCTGTCTACTATAAATATCTTAGTCATCATTTTACACCGATATATTATCTCATATATCTTCTGCATTTCAGAATTCTTTTTAAAATTCAGCTCATTCACAGAATCTTTTCAGGTGAACTCAACTATTATCCCTTTAGCTATTCCATGGTTTGCCATAAATCTTATGAATATAGATTAACCTCATAAATATCTAGGATCTAAGACTGTAAAGTATCACAAACTGAAAGATCAACTGACAGGGCAGTAGATTCCTCTATAAGCCACAGTAATTGACAGGATTGAGTCAGTATCTCTGTGCATCTACTGGGATTGTTTAGCATCGTTGTTGATGGCACTTTTATGTTCATCTACCGTTAAGTTGCAAGGCTGATAACATGTGCTGCATTAGTGTGAATCGTGTTTATTCTAAAATGTTAAAATGTTGATGCTGAAGAAAAAAGTGTTAGTTGAGGGGGAACAAACCAGACAGTAGCAACTTATTTACATACTAGACGAGATACCCTTTTCATGACCCCCAAAGTTCTCAGGTCTGGGACATTTCATACTCTAAAGATTTCTGAACTTAAACATTGGTCTTTGCGCCTGTAGCTTTGTTTAGTTCAATTTGGCATGCCTCTGTTGAGTGCCTGTTCTGCTTGGGATCCTAAGTGATTGACTAAAGGAAGTGGCTTGCCATCAAACTGCTTACAATGTGGTTCCACCCTATTCTCCCAGACATCACTTTCTCTTTCACATTCTTGTTTGATAACTTGTTTTATCCCAATTTTAAATGTCCATATTTTTTTTATTTACTTGTTCATGATCGGCCTTCCCCCAACAATCCGCAGCTCTTCATAAGCAAGGCCTTTGTGTTGTGCGCTGATTGTATCCAGAATGCCTGGAAGACCACCTGGCACATTTTAGGCATTCAGTAAATATTGAATGACTCAACGAGAGACAAAATACAACTACATACATAAGACAAATTGGGATATAACACACCCTAAAAAGATACAAAAGCAGATCCACATTTTGTGATGCTCTAACTGTACAAAACTTGGGGGGATTGCTATTTAAGAAAAGCAGCAATAATTTTTAAAAAATTATATAGAAATGAATTCTTATTTAGCATGAAAAAATCACAATTTATAAATTTAATAAAGTTAACATACTAGAGATGACAAAATGTGAGAAATAATATTAATGATATATTAACACATGAAAATATCTTGATATTATGCTTTTTTCTCAATAATTTTTGGCCATGTGTTCTTTTTTTGTTGTTGTTTCTTTATTGAGACGAAGTCTTGCTCCGTCGCCCAGGCTGGAGTGCAGTGGTGCTATCTCAGCTTACCACAACCTCCGCCACCTGAGTTCAAGTGATCCTCCTTCCTCAGCCTCCAGAGTAGCTGGGATTACAGGCGTGCGCACGCCACCACGCCCAGCTAATTTTTTTGTACTTTTAGTAGAGACAGGGTTTCGCCATGTTGGCCAGGCTGGTCTCGAACTCCTAACCTCAGGTGATCCGCCCGCCTTGGCCTCCCAAAGTGATGGGATTACAGGCATAAGTCATCGCACCTAGCCAGCCATGTATTCTTTAATCACCTCTCCATATGTAATATCAATTTCTGATAGATTGAATAAATGGATAATTTGTTATTTGCTCTAGCATGGGTAATCCAAATTGTTTTTGTTTAAATAACATTTGGGATATATAAAGGGCTTCACACATACATACTTGTAACTATGAAATTGCTACAGGTTTGTGTCTTACTAGTGTGGGAATTTTAATTCTATGCTGCATTTTCAAGTATATTCTAAATAAGAGAGAAGTTCCCATTTGTCAAGGTATCAATGAGAACTGAATTATCTGCTTATAATTGTATAGATCTGGTGAGTGAACAAATCTTCCATAGAGTAGCTCTGGCTTTGTGCATTTCAAATTTTGTGTATCTTCCAGTGCTCACATACTTCCAGTGCTGGTGCAAAACCAGCACAGCCACATCATTACTTCACCTGGCCTGTACCTTTGTATCATGAAACTGGTTGAACTTGGACAGTGGGTGTTGGCAATATTCTTACATTACTCACCAAGATGACTGGCAATAGATTAACTATATGCAGAATTGTTTGCAAGCCACATGAATATAGTCCATTATATATATTCTACTATATATATAAGTAATCCACTCTATCTATCTATCTATCTATCTATCTATCTATCTATCTATCTATCTATCTATCTATCTATGTAAGTCAGAGATATATCTCATATATATAGTGGACTCTCTCTATATATATATGAGATATATAAAATATTTTATATATATATATCTATATTATATATATATATATATAAAATGGGCTATATATGAGATGTATCTCTGACTCCACTATATATATATGACTATTTTTACGTATAGTGGACTATTTATATATATAGTACAATATATATAATGGACTATTTATATGTGGCTCAGAAACAATTCTACATATTGTTTATTTATTGCCATTCATCTTGGTGAGTAATAGAAAAATGTTTCCAACACCAACTGTGCACATTCAACCAGTTTCATGATACAAAGGTACACATATATAATCATATATATATATATATATATAAAATACAGTGGACTCTCTCTCTCTATATATATATGATATATCTATCTATATATATATGTGATATATCTCTGACTCAATTTCCCCTTAACTGGAATTCCAAAAATACTCTTGGCCTCTTCATTGCCACCCAATGGGAGGAAGAGTAGTATGGATGGAACCATAGTGATGGAAGAGATAGCAGGGTTAACCTGTAGCAATTAAAATATTTTACTTATGTAAATTTTACAAAATTGTATAATCATGTTATCTTGTTGCTAAGGCTCCTCTTGGCATCATGTAAGGGGCTCATGCAAATGAGGGCCGCTGAAATTGCATTTTTTCCCCCATGCAAATCTGCATCTGGGCATTCCAAAAAGTAGAGATTGTTTGTAATTATTGGGGGCGGACCTTCAAAGTGGGACAGGATTACAACTGAATGCAATATTAGAGAATAATCATTTAGAGGTCACATGATGTAGGACATTTTTAGCTGATGGCAAGTGGTTCTGTTTGGCATATACACCTGACGAAGAATGTAGTATAAGATGTAATTAGTGGTTGAGGCAAACCACTGAGGTCCTTGAATGCCAGAACGAGAAATTGGGAGGTTGATGCACACATCATCAAAATCCTTCCCTTCATCTCTGTGATTCAGGAGCTTTTATTTGGATTTATTAATTCAGGTATCTTTATTTATTTCAGTTAATACTTTACTTATTTTTTTTAGAGTGTATGCCTTTCAAAGACCTGGACTTCCCCTTGCACCGAACCTCCTCTGTCACTTTATCCTTGTTCTCACCATAACCCTTGAGACCTAGCGCATATCTGAGACTTGGCATTAACTAACCTTAAGTAGCATGAGTAAATGTATATTGTAAAGTAGCTTAAGAAATTTGAAAAATTGCAGATTTGTGTACACAACTGGATAAAATGTGAAAACTTTAATAGTTCAGCCCACTTCAAGTGGAAGTCACTTGTCTTCAGAGACAAGTATAAGTCCCAGTAAAAGTCAGTTAAAAACTCCTTCACATATTTTTGTAGCACTGGCTCTCCAATTTGAACTGTTTTCCAAATACTAGAAGATGGTTTATCATGCATGTGCTCATTCATATCCATTGTGTAGTCAGTGACTATTTTGTGAA